TCCGATGCCTCGATCGTGGTATGCGAGGTCTGGAAGCTGACGGTCGAGCGCACGTTGACGAGTCCGTCGCGCGAACTGCCACCGCCGCTGCCGCCCGTCCGACCACTGCGCGCTGTGCGAGACGTGGCCGATGCCGGGCTCAGTCCGTGCTCGAGGCCAAAGTCGCTCGGGTCGACCTCGACATTCAGCTGATCGTCATCATCGTCATCATCATGTCGACCCCGCCGGCGACCTGCCGAGGTGCTCGCGGTGGTCGCAGCAAGCACATGGTCGAACGTGCCTCCGTAGCGGCTCTGCTTGGCGAGGTAGCACCGCACTGCAATGAACATGGCGAAATAGGCCAGCATTGCGACGCCGAGCCCGACCAGCGCGCCCAGAAACCGCGTCGGGTCGCCGTCGTCGCCATCGTCCCCAGGAGGGTGGCTTGCATTGCCGGACGCGGTCGGCGTCGGCTGCAGCAGCGACTGGTCAAGGAGAGGAGTCGCCCAGCTCATTTCGGCGGGCGTCGACCTCAAGATCTGAAAACCCCTGAGCAGCTGTGACAAGAAGAAGCAAGAGACAACTACAAGAATGACTGGCAGTGAGTTTTGAGTTGATGTTGTAGTGCATCACAGTCAATTGGATACAGCGCTGCAGTACAGTAGATACTGATGCCAGCATCGCTGTTACATCTACTGTTGACAGTCAAAGTGCTCATACTTGCATGTCGCTCTACTTTATCAGAGAAATCTTCGTTGCTGCTCTTTGTTTCACTCTTCGTATTGTTGACTCTCTTAGCACTGTTGCAGGTTTCTCAGAGCGATGGTTTCGCAGGACGACGAGTTTGACGCGCTGCTGATGCAGGAAGACGCGCTCCAGCACGCAGGCGCTGTGGCTGGCGAAGACGCCGGTCGCCTTGCTGGCATTGCCGAGGGCAGGCAGCTGGGCCTGGTCAAGGGCACGCAGCTGGGCGCTGAGGTTGGGTACATGCGCGGCGTCGCAGCCGCCCTGCTCGAGCTCAGTCCCACCAACGCAGCTCCAGTGCAAGTGCAAGTGCCAGCGGGTAGCAGTGATGCTGCTGCTGCTACTGATGCGTCTGCCAGCACAGAGTCGAGCGGAGATGATGACACGCGCTCGACCAGTCCCACGAGGCCAGCCGGCTTGTCCATGTGAGCCACCAGTCCAACAGGCGATGGTGCATTGCTGTGAAGCATAATCCACTGAACTCTTGTGGTTTTTTGTCACACACACACACGCACACACACACACAAAAAGGCGGACTCGCAAGGCTGCCGAAGCTGTGATTGCGCTCGCAGATGGATGCTCGCTGGAGAATCCACACGAAGACAAGCTGTTTGAGACACTCGACCGGCTTCGTGCCAAGTTCAAGCAGGTGAGCGCGCGTTGTTTGTTGTCAAAACAAAATCGCAGAAGGCTCGGGGAACAGCAAGAAGAAGGGCTGGAATCGAGTGAAGATTTCAGAAACATACGCTGTGACTGTCCACATACTGACATGATGGTTGAATGTCGATCTTTTGATCCTTGATCTTTGTGCTGGTGCGCAGCTCACGTCCGCTGCTGGACTGAATCTGCGCTTTGACTCGTCACGGCCGCATTCGCACGATGCATCCACTGGTGCGATCGTTCAAGCACCCCAAACGGCAGCATCGCGCGTCCAACCACCGGCCACCTCAATGTGGTGATGCTGCCTTGGCACGAAGGAGGCAGAGCCTCTGTGCCGCAGTTGTTGCCCCAAAACCGGACGACAATTCGCGTCTTCTGGCAAGACGACGACGTTGCTGATTTTCGCGGCACACAAGGCCTCTGATCCTCCTCATGACGCAGTTCTTTTAGAAAGGACGAAAAACGGTTGGCTTTGACGCTCTGTTGGCTATGTTTGGTGCGATTTCACGCCCAAGAAGCCAAGACGAGATGCATCTTTTGCTCTTTGTTTGCTCTTTGTTTTTTCTTCTTCTTCTTCTTTCTTTTTTCTGGTGCTGAATGGCCCTGGTTTGCGATTCACGAATACAACAGTGAAGCAGAGTATCCTGTCGTTGAAGGGGTTGCAGAAGCGTCAACTGCATCCTCGTCGCCCTTCTCACGCTCGCTCTCTCGTCCTCTCGTCCGTTGCCCGTTCCATCATCAGCTGACACTCCAGCAATGCAAACGCAGTGCCAATCAACCGTATCGTATCTGCTGCTGCTGCTGCTGCTGCTGGTCACACATCTGCAAAACAAACGGCAAAGCGAGCGTGCCGACAGTCGGAGCCGGTCAGAACGACCTCGCCGATATCAGTCTTCAGTGTATCAACTGCTGCATCTGATGCAGTGCAGTGATCCTTCAGTGGTCCTGATCACCATCGTATATCAGTCATCCGTCCCGTCCATCATCCCTTTTGTTTAAAAGCCCCCTTTTCTATGTGTGATGTTGTCGCGACGGCCAATCAAAGCAAACCCAATCTCACATCATTTAAACAAAAAAAAAAAAAAAAAAAAAAGCCCCGCCCCCATTGTTTGTTCTCTTCTCGTTCCATTTCTTTTGTTGCTTTCCGTTTTCCCTCTGCTTATGCTCTTCCAGCATCTGCTCATCCGATCACACACACACACTCACTCTGTCACTCTGTCACTCGCTGCTCACGCGCTGCTTACACACCCTGCAATCCGTTTTGCGCGGCATTGTTTTTTTTTTTGTTCTTTTTCTTTGTTCTTCTTGTTTTGTTTTGTTATTGTGTAATGTTGTTTTTGCCGTCGGAAGTTTCAATCACATTAGCACATTTTTTTTCCTTTGTTTGTTTTTTTTTTTTTTTTTTTTTTTTTTTTTTTTTGGGGTTGATGTTTTCACGTTTTTCCAGCCACAACAGAACGAGGCCACAACAGCGTCAACCTGACCAGTCAGTCACTTCAAACACCCCCCGTCTTGACTGATTTGGCCATCATCGCTTCATCTTCAACTGCTTGTGGATTTCAGTAAACCGCTTTTTCTTGTTTTTTTGATCTCCTTTTCCCTAATCCTGCTTCAGTCAGTCTTTTTTTTTTTCTTTTCTTTTTTTTTTTTTCCCCCTTTGCGTTCAATTTCAGTTGTCTTCTCCGACAACTCTTCTTCTTCCTTCTTCGTCTTGCTTGTGGGGATTCCTCGTTTCGTTTTTCCCCCATCTGCAAAACCCCCACGTCCCATCCCCCTCTCCCTCTCTCTGTCTCTCTTTGAGCTGGGCACGGATTTCTTTCTTATCACGAAACGCCCTGCTGATTTACGGACTCAAGTAGTTTTTTTTTTCTTTTTTTTTTTTTATTTCTTTCTCTCGTTCCGTTTCCGCCGCTCTCTCCTTCCTCCTCTTCGTCGTCTTGTCCTTTTTTCCCCCCGTCTTGAATCCTCTCCACTCACACTAATACACAGACAATGGCTTACTTCTTCGGTGTCGGTTCCGGCCACGTTGGTACGTTCCCATGTGCAATCACAAAAGTGGCTTTGATGTCATGCTGCCTTTTTTTTTTTTTTTTTTTTTTTGTGGCTTTTTGATTGTTCATCTCACCCCATCTGCTCTTGCTCTTCTTGCTCTTCCTACTCTGGTTTAATGCGCTCGCATCTTGCTCGTCCCTTGCTGTTGCTGGCTTGGTCTTCGCTGCGCTGCGCTGGTTTTTTTGCCGCTCGTTCGTCACTGATTGTGGGGGGTGCCATGTTTTCCCGCTTTTTTTTTTCTTCTCCTATTTTCCAACCTCCATCCCCCTTTTCTTTCTCGTTCCTTCTCGCCTCTCCCGTTTTCCCTCCTCCTTTTCTCAGGCTGCGACTGCGACTGATCACTTTTCGCAGAGCTTTCGATTCATAACTTTTACTGCGATTTTTATTTTTTACCCTTCCATTGATTTTTTTGAATTTCATCCTTTATTTCCTTTCTTGTCTTTAGCTTGAATTTTCTTAATTTTTATCTTTCTTTTTGTTGCCGCTCTTTTTTTTGAATTTCCGAGTTTTTTTCAAAACAATTTATTTTCCTTCCGCTTTCATTTTCCGAGCAACGCTGCACAAACTTTGTGTTGTTGTCTTTTTTTTTTTTCTCATCAATTTTGAAATCAAGCTTGGCTGCTTAAAAAAAACTTCAAGAAAGTCCCCCTTCCAATCATCATCACCATGTCCGTGTTTGTCGTTCCCCCGGCACCCGCCCGAATTGGAAACGAGACCAAGCAGCAGCTGCGCGAGCAGTTGTTTGGCGAACTGGCCCTGCACGACCTGCACCACGAGCAGGAGCTCATGAAGAACATGCATGCCCAGCGCGTGCAGCTGAGCGAGCAGCAGTGCAAGCAGCCCAGCATTGCCTTCCTCGACATGTTTGGCTTGCCCCAGCCGGCCGTCAATCTGGCCAACTTCAAGTCGCCCTTCATTGTGCCGCCCAGCATTGTGCCGCCAGTGTCCTACTTTACAACCAACAGCAACTACAACATGGGTCTCTACCCCGCATTCAACCCTTCGCTCAGCTTTGCTGCTGCAGCTGCCGCCGCTGCCTTTGCGCCGCCGCAGCTGACCCTGGCCGATGTCATGGCTGGGCCCGCAGTCAAGCGCGAGAGGCTCGACTCTGCCGCCAGCATCATGTCGGCCCTGTCTGCGTCGTCCGACGCCAGCGCTGCGAGCTTTTTGGGCAACAGCGACAACTTTGCCCTGCCCGAACCCACGACCATGGAAACGTTGCTTGCCAACCTGCAGCACTCGTCCACGCTGTATCCCAACCTGTGCAACGCCTTCCCTGTCGTCCTGAGGCCTACGAGCTCCCTGTCCTCGTGCACGGAAAGCCGCGACGTCTCGTCGAGCGCGTCCACGCTGTCCTCGGCCGGCGCATCGCCCGCTCCCGTCGTGGTGAGCGACTCGAGCCGCAAGCGCCGCGCGTCGTTTGACGATGAGGACCAGCTGTTCGACTCTGACGGCTTCAACGCTGGCGAAACGTTCACCCTGTCGTCGCTCATTGCCTCGGCTGCCACCTCTGCCGGGCCCGTGACCCCCGAGCGTCTTGCGCACTGTCTCCACGACCCGCTGCCGCCAATGCCCGTGCCGGCTTCGCAAAGCGTCGGCAACCGCGTTTCGCGCATTGATCCGAACGTCGACAACGTGACTGCTGCGCGCCGCAAGAAGGAGCGCGAGGCGAAGGCTGCGTCCCGCCAGAAGCAACGCGATCTGATGAACGACCTTGAGCGCACCAACGCCCTCCTCGACCAGGAGCATGCCGAGCTCAAGCAGCGTGTGCTGTCGTTGCAATCGCAGCTTACCATGCTGCGTGGACTGGTCCAAGCGCTTTAACATGTTGCGGAATACGAACGATGCACGTTGCTTGTTTTCCGCTGTTGTTGCTGTTGCTGCTGTTGCTGCTGTTGTCTTTGCATGGATGTGTGTTTTTGATTGATAATTCAATGGAATTGTTTTTTTTTTTTTTTTTTTTTTTTTGTTGTTGTTGTTGTTGTTTTTTTTTTTCTCCTGTACGTTTCTCCACCATGATACTTTGCAGGTCCAGTACTCTGTCTGACAAACATCAAGCAGCTTTGTATTGGGAAATACGAGAAATACGACGAGTGAAAAGTCAATTTGCCCAAAATAGAACAAGACTTGCTCAACAACAGACGCGCGCTAGATCGAACGAGAAAAGGAAGATGCATGCATAAAAACAAAAACACAAAGGAAAACAGGCGACGAGAAACAAAAACACAACCAGCCAACCAAACTATAGCCAAGAACAACAACTTTTCGAAAAAGCCAAAAACAATATGAAAAAAAAAAAAAAAAAAAAAAGAGCGAGAACGAAGAAGCGACGAATACAACATTGCTTCTTCTTCACTTGGTCATCGACAAGCGGGAAGCATTGTTGCGAGCATTGCGGATGGACGAGCGAACAGACTTGCGCGCAAAGCCCTTCGCGTTGGCGTTGGGATCGTTGCTGGCCTGAGCAGCCAACTTGGCCAGCTCTTGCTCGATGCGCACAATTTGAGCTCGCATGGTTTCAGTCTTCTTTTCAGACTCCTTGAGCGCCTTGGAGATTTTGGCCTGGGCGGCCTTCTTTTGATCCGCGCGGGCCATGTTTTGCATGGCATCGAGCATGATTTGCTCCCGTTGCAGAGCCTGCTCAATCATTTGCCTCTCCTCCTGCAGCTCGTTCACCATGTCCTGAAGGCCTTCGATCGCTTGCGGGATGATGTCATTGATGGTGATGTGGATGAACACGGAAGCCAGCTCAAACTCTTCACTGTGGCCATTGCGAAGCGGGACAGCTCGGTAGCCTAACAAAAGTAGCAAGATCAAAGCACAAAAAACCAAGGGGGAGAAAAGTGAGCAACCGCCGATGCATTCAAAACGCGAAAAACAACAATCATGTCAAGAGAATGACTCTCACCTGGGCGAAGGCTGTTGAATGGAATGACAGCCTGACCCATAAAGCTTGGGTCACCAAACATATCTTCGTCCATCACGGCAATGCGGAGCAAGCACACGTCGGGAAGACGAACAAAGAATTCGCACGACTCATTCCAGACAGGGTTGAAACCGTTATCCGCTGTTTTTTTTGGGTTGTTTTGATAAAAATCAAGCGACATTTGGCAATAGTGAGGGACGATGCTCTGCTCGGCAAAAGAGAAAAACCCCGTCAACAACAAAAAAAACGTACGCTTCGTCTTGGTACGATGCTTTTGCGACGAGTCCACTTCGGCTCCGCAAATGTCAATTTCGACAAACGGCGACGCAGTGCCCTTGCCCGACTTGACAAGATGTTTGGCAGAGAAGATCTACAGCAAGGTGCACGACCAAATAAAGTCAACAGTCAACAACAAACACCAAAAAAAAAAAAAAAAAAAAAAAAAAAAAAAAAAAAAAAAGCACCTCCCCACAAACCCAGAACCAACTCATCTCCATACCTGAATCTGAACATGCTTGGGAAGAATGTGGGCATAAGTCGTCTCATCAAACTCGGAGAAGCGGTCGTGGTTGACGAGAAGATCGGGCTTGACGACAAAGCCGCAGCGCTTGTTCTGGAGGAAGAGACCCTCGTTGACTTGCATCGGCCGATCGGGCGTTTGGTAGTTGAGTGCGACGAGTTGCATTCCAGCAATCCAGCAAATTTCGGGATCAAAGTTGGAGGAATCGACGCGCTTGCCGGCGGGATAGGTGCGCGAGAATTGACGGCGATTGTAGTGCACAAAGTCGGCAGCCTGCTTGCGAATAATCTTGTCGGCCTTCTTTTCCTCAAAGGACGACATTTCATAGTACTTGGTCTTCTCCCGGCTCGCCTCGAACGACTCGAACGGAATGGAGCGGCAGTAGGCAACAATATCGGACAGCTCCTTGGCGACCTTTTGCTTGCGAACCATCTTCTTAATGTTGTCCTGGCGCACGCCAGCGTTGGCCAGCGCTGCCGAAATGAACATTTGCCAGTCCTGCAAGTCGGCCTGATCGATGGTCATCAAGTTGTACGTCTGGCCGGTGGCGGTCGTGATTTGGATGCCAAGCGCGCCGGTGGGTCGCACGGTTGCGCCGACCAGATCGATCGAGCCCTTCTGCAAGGCACCGAGTGGGTTTTCGCGGTCGGAGAGCAGCTCCTTGACGTCGAGGTCAATTTCCTCGACATAGTTGGAAGGGAGCCAGCCCACCTTGCCATTGTACTCGCCCTTCCACCAGCCACCGTCGTGGCGCTCAATGTTTGAAATGATGGCATCCTTGGTGAAGGTGAGCTCGTCGGGTCGCGATGCATTGTACTCGAACAGCGTGCGCGCAAACACGCGCGTCTGCTCGACAGGCGCCGACAGACCCAGCTTTTCGAGAATCTTTTCGTTAACGGGGAACTTGAGCTTGATGCGGCGGTAGAGCGGGTGCTTTTCATAGTAGCCCACCAACTCTTCCAGCGAATCAAACGTCGTCGAACCAATGACAAAGAAGCGGCCTTCGGTCTTGATGCGGCAGTGCTTAATCTTTGAGGCAGCCAGGAACGAGATGGCAAACGAGTCGGCGCTCGTCTCGGAGCGACGGACGAGGAAGCTGCCGTCCTTGCGACAGCGCTTCAGCATGTTCTCGGCGTCGATGCGCGAGAGCACCTTGTGATACCACTCCTTGTTCTCGTAGTTGGAAGGGAGCGGAACGTGCTCGGTGAGACGGAGTGAGATCTGGGCGCTCTTGAGCGTGTTTTGACGGTAGTGGTCGACCAGCTCGTAGAGCGTGGTGAACGAGGCGTGCTCCGTCAGGAAAAAGTGGCCATTGTTCTCCTTGATGCGGACGTGCTGTGCCTTCTTGCCCAGCCAGAACGACAGCGTGAAACCAGCAGTGTCAGACTCGCGGATCAAGAACGAGCCATCCGGGCCGTTGAAGGCGGCAAGGCGCGCCTCGGAATCGACGCGACCGTCCTTGAGCTTGCCGTGGAACCAGGGCTCGCCGTTGTGGAGCTCAAAGTACTGGGGCTTGGCAGGCTCAGTCTCCTGCACCTCAGCTTCCTGCGTTTCGGCAGTGTCGGTGGTAGTCTCACCGTAATGGAGCGTGGAGCCGGCGAGCACAAAGTAGTACTGCACAGTCTCGCCGTCGAGGGGGTCTTCGAGCGTCAGGTAGCCGTTTTTTTGCGACTGCGAGAGATCGTCCTGGTTGGACGAGACAACTTCTTCCTCGGCACCTTCCTTCAGCTTCTTGTTCTTGATCAGAATCTTGTACTTGAGTTGGTCGGGCGACGGGAGCTGCTCGGCGTTCTTGTCCAGGACTTGCGTCAAGAGCATGTCGCCAAACACGTCCTTGAAGACGGTGGCCAAGACCTGCTGCTGCTCAATGCAGCAGTGATTCTCAATCGAGAGAATGACTGGATACGGCGACGTCTCGAAGGCGTGCTGCTTGATGGTCTCCACGACATCGCGGAACTTGATCTTGGAGGTCATTGTGTGGCCGTGGTAGATGATTGGGTCGTTGTCCGGACCATCCCAGCAGTCGAGCTCGATGCATCGGCAGCCGTTGCGCAAGCAGCGGGCATATGCATCACAGGTCGATTCCGACGAGAACTGATCGCCCGTCAAGTACGTGTTGTGCGACGAGGCAATCCAGTAGTGCGACAAGGGCAGCGTCATGTTCTGGTAGACGTTGTTCAAGTGCGTGTCGTTGTAAACGTTGTTGTGCTTGCTCAACATGAACGTGGCAAACGAAGGCAGATGGAAGACGGGGTCGGCAAGGCCACCAATCTTTTTCTTTTCTTGCGTCACGACGTGCAGCATGAGCGACTTGACATAGTGTGGGTCTGATGCGCGGAGATCCTGAGCGGAGCAAGCGAACCAAAAAAAGGTGAGTTGAAAAAAAAAAAACTAACTCGCTCGTCTCCATTGCCTCTTTCGCAAAGATGTGCGGCCGGTCATGCCCAACACAACATTAAATAACAGGATCAACAGAACTCAAACCTACCCCTTGCTCGTCGCGCAAAAAGTCCGTAAACTTGGCCTGAGTCATGGTCTTGCCGTCAGAGTACTTGGCAAACAGCTTTTCAATGACGGGGTTGGCAAGCAGAGCACGGTGAAGCTCTGTAAACTCGTCAAAGCCGATGGTGCCCTGACGGTGTGTATCGACTTGCTGGATGAGCTCCTTGATGCGCTCCTTCTTGACCTTGAGGTTTGCACGCGCAAAGAAGGTCGTGAGCTCCTTGACACCCACACGTTGATTCTCGGGGTTCATGGCCTGCCATTCCTTGATAAGCCAGCTACAAGTGGAAGAAGTTGTTGGTTGGGGTGAGAAGGATGCGACAAAAAAGGGACAAAAGATTGGCGGCAACGACAAAAAGTTTAGAACAACAACAAAAAATAAATGTTGGACTTACCGCTTGAGCATGTGGAGCTCAGTGAAGATGCGCGCCTCACGGACGAGCAGCGGCAGACTCATGCACCAGAGGTCGCGGTCGCGCACGCTCTCGGCCACGCAGGCAATCGTCTTGAGCCTAAACTCCATGCCGTAGTAAATGACAAACGACGTCTCCTCGCGACCGCGGTAGTCGTCATAGAAGCGATCAAACTCTTTCGTTTGCTTGCCCTGGCGCACCTCGCGAACAAAGAAAATGTCAACTGGAAGGGGAGAGACGAGCCGAATGGACGCGAGCCATCAAGTCAGTAACAAGCGAAACGGTTTTGGGGGTGGGGGTGGAGCAATTCGCGAGCATTAGAACAGATGGTTCCCCGCACTGTTCAAGCAATGTTCGCTGGGGGAGGAGGTGAAGGGGGGGGGGAAGTGTGTAGTGAATGGTTGGCAAAAATCGTGGCATTGTTTTTGGCATTTTTGGTTTGATCGGCAGGTTGAAGCGCACGGCAATGGTTGACATGCGAGACTAACGCCACCAACAAAGAAATGGGCAGGAGGTGGGGCAGGGATAACCCCCCCCCCCAGTTGCCGAAAAAAAAAATGATCTTGAAAAGTAAACAAAAAATCAAACAATCGGAGCGGCAAGGTTTTTGTTTCTTTTCCACTTGGTGAGACTGCTCTGACGGGGCTGCTTGGATGGATGAAAGTGGCCCTAGAATGGCGCCTAACTGAACAAGCAGCATACTCAAGACGCACACCAGCATCGACCACAAGCCAAAAACCAAAAGAGAGTGGCAAAGCTGAAAAAGCAGAAACCGCAGCAGGGCAACCGACTGCCAAAACCCGCCAAAGCGAAGGCCGTCTCCTTCCAACATGACTGGCCAAATGGAGCGTGCTTTTCGATCGCACGATGGCCAGAGCAACGTGAAAAGTGAAAGGGGGTGGGGGAGAATCAGGATCGTGCAATGGAGGCGCAGAAACAACAGATGACGCGCGGGCCGCCTGTTGTGTGAGCTCTTGCTTGTGACGGCATCGCGCAGACGAGTGCGAATGTGCACTGTTGCAAGCAATGATGCAACGACCAAAGTCCACACCTGCCCTCTGGTTCCCCTCCAGCCCCAGCGGCCAAAATCGGCCCAGGCAACCGAAAAGCCTTTTTTTCGTTTTTTGTTTTCTTTTTTTTTGTATTTTTTTTTTTTTTTGGTTTCCTTTTGAGTTTCTTTTCATGTCGTTGTTCGGGAGTTGTGCATTGCCTTGACGATGGAAGAGAAGGGATGGGGTGTCTGCGCATAGATGTGAGCAGCAGCAGTTGTGCACCAGCGCAGCTGCAGCCCCGACCGCTGCTCGGCCAGCTTGCAGAGAGCGCATCGAGCAAGCTGCTCAGTGAAGAGATCAAAAAAAAAATAAAATAAAAAATAAAAAAATAAAGGAAAAATAAAGCTCTTTTGATGCGTGACGAGAAGCCATTTGTGCCAGCCCAGCGTGTCGATTCGCGTGGGCTTGTGTTGCGTGCTTGTCTGCTAGCTCGCTTGCTGTCAGAGCCTGGGGGAGAAGAGGCGCCCAGGCTGGTCCGCAAGCGAGCAGAAAAGCATTGAGAAAGGGAAAAAAAAAAAAAAAAAAAAAAAAAAAAAAAAAGAACCTTCAACAACAACAACAACAAAGAAAAAGAAAAACTCACGCGCTGCTCTTTGGCTGCATTGCTGCAGTCAGAACACGCGTGGTTTACACCAGTGTAGCAAACGTGGTACTCGACGAACAACAAGAAGAGGGATGAGCGAGAGAAGCGGGAGAAGCAAACAGATGGAGGGTGGGAACTGGAAAAAAAAAAAAAAAAAAAAAACGAAGCAAAAAAGTGTGACTTGAAAAAAAAAAAAAAAAAAACTTGCTTTGCTGCTCGGGGACGGGGCGGCCCTGTGTGAGGATTTGGAGCTGCATGGGGTTGAGATCGAGGCTGATGATCTTCTTGCTGGGCTTCTGCTTGGGCGTGAAGACGAGCACCGGAGTGCCGCGCTTCAGGCTGTCCGTGTCCACCAGCGGACTGATCTGGTCGACCGCATCCCAAGTCGCCATCGTCGCAGATGTGAAGAAAGCAAAACACCAACAAAAAAAAAAAAAGAAGAAGAAAAGGAAAAAGGAAAAACAACCGAGGAGGAAAAAAAAAAAAAGAAATGGAAACAAAAAGAGAACTGAGAGACTGAGAGTTGGAGATGCAAGAGGTTGTTTTTGTTTGGATTGAACGAATCCCACGTCAAAGGGGGGGGCGGAATTTTTACACTAAAAGAGCCCCCGCCATTGGGGACCACCGTTTGTCAGCGAGACTTCCTTTGCAATAGCGGTTCACTTGTAGCACCTTGTATTAGGATTCCCCCCTCAGCCTTTT